CGAGAGAGAGAGAGAGAGAAAGAGACGTTAAGCCTATTATCCGGCTCGATTGCTTGCATTGTTTTGGCGAGGATAAACAAACCATTCAACATTGTGTTGCAAGTTACCTTAGGAAGGTGATCAATAAACTTGCCTTGCTTCATACCTATTATGATTCAAACTAACTTTGATGTGTCATGTGCAGGAAAGGATTACACCAAGGAGAAGAAACCAAAGAAATGCATGGTCGAACAGGATCAGAAAGAAACTAAAGCAGCCTCTGTAAGTTAAATTTTCTTATCGTCTCCCATATTGTCCTTCAGTTTATGCTTTGGTCTGAATATTAAGCTTGAGGATTTGGGGGCTTGAATTTTTAATTTGTTGACTTTGCAAGACCACATACCAAGTTCCAAGTCTACTGCTGAACTACCCAAAAGGGAAGAATCAACTGAGCTTTCTCTTTCTTACCATACCAAAAAATAAAACATATCTTTGCTGTCTTTGTTTACCAGGAAACCAGAAGCTTAGAATGCTCGAATGACTCAGGGACAAGGCGAGTGAAAATGATGCGTTGCCTTGGCCTTACTGCTCCACCTGGGTCTCCCTTCCAAAATTCACGTTCCTGAGTACTACAGACTTTTTCGTAATAATTGATGGTTCTGTTGTGACGGTAGTGGTTTCTGTTTTACACGGTTCTCTTGCCAAACCAACCTTTTTTCTCGCACTGAATTTCTTTGGGTGCTAAAGTAGCGGTTATGAATGAATCAATGTCCATGTGGATATGCTTTCCCTGAAGTTTTGCGGAAGCCCTTTGGAAAGAAGAAAAGCAAAATACTTGACCTGAAGTTTTGGGTTTCACTGGTTGTCGTTTGCTTGAAATACTGTACAGGGAAGCCATTGGATTGAGCTTCATTTTGCTTTAGGGTTTTGTTAGTGCAAGAAGCTCAACGCATTTTGGTTTTTAACATGCGAACGTCATTTGACCCTTAAAATGCAGTATGCTTGTTTTTGTTCCATGCATGATGCTGGTAAATGAATGTTGACTGTCAAGTCGTTTACATGCATACTGACTGATTGTTGTTTGTGATCCTGGTGGTAGAATTGTGGAGAATGGCCTTTTTTATTTTTTGAAACATTTTTACCACTTTCCCACCCCTTTTCTCATTTCTCATTATGTTTTGTATGTGAGATGAGCTGAAATCATTTCCCCTTTCTCCCCCAAAAAAGTACACTTAAAATTCTAATGATCCTTTGCAAAAAACAAAATTCAATTTAACTTTCAATTATTAAAGTTTTTGAGTTTGCAAAAATTGTAATCCATGTCCCTGAATTTGCGCTCTGAGAAACAAAGAACTTCAGATTGTATGATTGGATTCGCTTATCGCCACCATGATCCATTTGGGTTACATTCCTTTTGAGGACACATGCCTCATTGGGCATGATACCGATAGGATTGGCGATGGACCGGGGCCGGGATGGGCCACCTCAGACCGAGGGCCAGGCTTAGAACGAGGGCCATGGCTGGCTTGGCCCTATTTTTTCTTATATCTGTGCATTGTTTAAAAGAATTTTCACTAGCCCCAACCTGGATCCGGTACATGCCTGGATCCCAGACCAAGGCCGGGCCTCTAGAGACTTGCTAACCTTAGCCCAGTCGTTGCCAGCCCTAGGTACCAAAAAGTATTGCCTATATAAAGTCAGAAACATGGACTATGAAGGTTTATTATAGGCATCATTGACATTAGACTTTGCGTGGGACATAAATTATGCCCAAATTTGATTTTTGAGTGCCTAGTTCTTTGTGCCACGTGCTGGGTTCGTTTCCTTTATATATTCGAATATATTCAGTACAAGATAATGGATTGATTCACATGTGCATTTTTTCATGTATATTTTGTGAAATAATGCTTGTTTTTTATTTTTGTTTTTGCTCTTGCAGTTTTTTAATGAAATGAAAGACCCCATTTTCTAATGTAGCCTTGGTCCTCGAAACTGATTTGTTCGTTTCAATGGTTTTAAAAGCGGTTAACCAACCGTTCAATTCGGCAATTGTTGGGGCAGGTCCGATTTTGTCTAAATATCGGGAACTGGTCAAGTTTTTGGACAAGACCGGCTTATTCTGTCAAATAATCAGTCTCATTTTATTTTTAAATTTTTTCATTTTTTGTACCTTAGCTTTATTTAATTTTTTATTCATCGGTTCACTAAATCGGATTGCCGATCTAGACTGCGGATATGTTGTTCCGTACCTATTTCCCGGAGGTGCGATCTGCTACCTTACCGTGTTTTTAAACCTTGGTTCATTTTGTTTTGCATCTAAGAAACAGGTCCAGTTTTCGTTCAAATCAGGAACCTGAAACGTTTTTCACTTTTTATATTTTTAGGGTTAAATATGCTTTGGAGGCGCGAAGACATGTCCGCCAATGCCCAATGCTTACTAAAGCCTTTTTAAACTTATTATCAATAATATTAAAAAAAAGAAAAAGTTTATATAAAGTTGCAACCTTAAACTGTACAATTGCAGATGCACCTCAAAAATTTATTGAAAAAAGTTGGTTTAATGTTGCAAAACCCTCTAATTGATGTACGAATATAAAAAATAAAAAAACTTTGAGTCTCAGAAATAATGCTTCTTGCAACACATTATCTAGACCGTTCATTTTTAATATTTTCATATGTTTATAGATCTACTTGATTTTAATCATTTTTAAAATTTAAAATTTTATAATTAGATATAAAAATAGATTTTGAAATAATCCCAAAAAAAATTTACACTAAAATTACATGTTATGATAAAATTTGGAAGCGCTCATTAATTGGATTGTTTAAAGTTGCCACATTAAGAAACCACACCCTTAAAACAATGTTGGTGCATTTTCCCCTTCAAGTTTAAGTTTATAACGATTCAAAGAAAAAGCAAAAGAGAGGTGAAAAGTATAAAGTTGGTTAAGTTGTCGACAGCGAGGGAGGGAATGTTTGTAGTTGCAGGTCCTGCTGCTGCTACAACCACAGTCACCTTGTCCCATTCTCTCCCCTAAAATGGATAATATCAAATCACTCTTTACACCCCTAGAAAGAAGGATATTACACCCCTACAAAAATGGACTTGGTGCTCTTGAAACATTAATTGTATTTTTCTGCTCCTAAAATACTAAAAGCCTTAACTTTTGAAAAAAAAAAAAACTGAAAACCTTACTTATGGATCATTGAAATAGACGGTCCAGATCGCATGTTGAAACAACATTCAAGATGGGATATGTTGTCTCTTCAAAAACAAGGTTCTACACCTTTTCTTGCTGTCTACATTTTACTTCTACCCGGCAGTGAATGAGGCACATTACTAGTATCTCAAATAAGGTTTTAGAAATGGGCAAGCTTTTTATGTTCTATCCTTCCATTTATCCAACTGTCCATTTTATTTTTAATTTTTTTTCTATAAACTACTTTTACAACAAAATTTGTACGTCTATTCTTCTATTAAACTCGTATTAGCAAAAAATATAAAAAAAATATTTTCAATAAAATAAAATAACCAAAATACTTTTGAAAGTTTCAAGAGGTATTTTAGTCATTATATTTTATCAAAAATTATTTTTAATATTTTTTATTGGTGCTCCACAATGAGAGGATGACACGTACCAAATTTTATATTCATACAATTTGTAAAAAAAAAAACTAAAAAGAAACTACTTTGAGATGTTGAATCTAAAATCGAACGGTGAGTAACTCTCTTGATCAAAATTGGATAGTTGGATGGTAGAGAGATGATAGAACTTCTATGTTATAGGGGAAACATAGAAACCTTTTTTTTTTAAAAATAACAGTTTGGATTGAAATTTTCTAATCCAAATTGCATCTAGTGGGGAACTTTTCAGGTTTATGGTCCAAAAATTGGATGATTCTAACCATTTTTTATTTCTATTATCATTTTCACCGGAGGACACAAAAACCCGGTTCCGACACCGATCTCGAATGTTGGCCTACATGTCCTGCACTTTGATCAAGTCACTTGACACAGCACAACGACTTGAACATCTGCCAGCTCACACTCGTTGCTTTTGAAGAAAAACGGTGCCATGTTCGAAGTTAAGGTACAGTGCAGAAGATCCAAAAATAGGACTCTGGTTTAGTTTTTTCAAATATATGAATAATGGATTGCAATTTCATATTTAAAGATGACCCCTTTAACAAACCACATCCAATTATTTGGAGGCAAAGGATTTATTGAAAAAGTGTGTGGAGAGGCTATTTATTTTTAATACAAAAAGTCACAATCATTTGTGATTGTCATAATTCAAAGTAGTTGGTCATGAAAAAAAAATTTCAAACTTTGTGATGCACTCCAAGTCATCCAATTTGATATGCTATGAATAATTATACTATCATTGTATAAAAATAAATAGCCTTGTATATAATTTTTTTGGGTAAATACTGGTTGATATATTACTATACAATCCTAAAATTTGTAGGCACAATGGTGTTATGGTATTAACGGGGTTTTCGATGGCTACGAAATATCGGCGAGGATTTGAAAACGGGTGCCGTTTGTATAGAGCCCAAGCTCTAAACAATCAAATTAGAGCCTACCTTCAAATAATATCAAGAAATGTGGTTTTAAGACTGGAAATCACTGGGATAGACTTAAAATATATTTTCATATTTATTTATAAAGTTTAAAGCTTTAAAAATAATGTAGATGGATAGATCTATAAAAATTTAAAAATCTTAAAAATTGATGGTTCAGAAATATATTACAAAATACATTATTTTCAATACCTTAAATCTAAATTTTTTTTTATCTGCATGCATGTTAATGTCGAGATGATCAACTTAAGGTTATTTGGGCATCAAACTAACCTCATTTAGTGAAACTTTTCCCCATTGAAAAGTGGTTGGAACTTGGAAGAGAGGGAGGAGGGAGGGGATTTGGTTGATGATAGGTCCATTTTCCTCACGGGTGGGGGGCAAGAGGAGGATATTGTCAGAAAGCGGCAGGGGATACGTGGAGGGTATTGTCAGCTTTGTGTAGGGATATTTCCGACCAAAACCAATACGAGCATTCACCATCCCGTAAAAGCTGTCGGCCGCCGCCGTAACCCCGCCTGCTAATCATTGCTCCACGTTCCTCCCATCCGCACCTCTCTCTCTAAATCCCACCCACCTCTTTCTCTTTCTAAATGCCACCTCTTTCTCTCTCTAGGACTCAATTCTATCAATTTTCTCTCTCTAAATGCCACCTCTTTCTCACTCTATTACTCAATTCTGTCAAATTTCTCTCTCTTAATTCACAGTCTCTGCTCCATCTTTATCCCTTATCACTATTTCTTTTTATTTTGCTACATTCTTTTTATCTCCCTCTTAAATCGCTCAATTATTAATCTCCCGTTTCTCTCTCTAAATAATACCCTCTCGGAGTTCCCTTTCTATACTTTTTTTTTTGTTTTCCACTCTCTTCCCCTCTCTCTCTTAATTTTCCAATCCTCTCTCTCTCTCTCTCTCTGCTTTCTCTCTCTTGGGTTCTTTCGGTTAATAAAATATGTATTTACAGGATGATGTAGGGATAGAATACTACGAACCTGCTAGCGTGAAACCGCGACTGTTAAAAAGCGTTAGTGTTTCTTTTCGTCCCCTTACCAGATCCCCCCCCCCCTCCCCTCTCTCTCATCTTTCTCTCTTTTCTTTTCGCTTTACTGGTTCGGTCTCAAAGAAGCGTTGGAGAGCTTTAATGGCAGGAAACCTTTTCTTTTGAATTAGAGGGAGAAGCGAGTGTCTGAAGTTTCCCAGAAAGAAGTAAGCATGGTTTCAGAGCTGTTTGCCTGTAAAACTGTCAAAGCTTTCCACTCAAGGCAAAAAAAAATTGTGTCTGCTTTCTCTGAGCTACGTTCTAAAGACGAACATTTGCTTCTCCTTCTTTGATTGCAGGATATAATGTTCAGGGCATGAACCTCGGGGAAAGGATACATGGCTCCTAAAAAGCTTCCGATTCAAAAGAGATCACCATAAATAGTAAGTTTCTCTTTTCTCTCTGAGTTTTTTGAATCAGGAATCGAGTTTAATGAAGGCTAGGGTTTTACATTTGTAAGCGTTTGCTCCGAGAGCTTATCGAGAATTGTTGAGATTTTGCCGTTATTTTGGGACCGAAAATTGGCATTGGGAAGGAGATTTTATTCATGGGGGGTTTTTGGATAATATGAGAAAAAGGTTGGGGCATTATTTGGTCAAATTCCAGAAGCAGAAATGTTTCAGGAGAGAGATCAAAGGCGTTTTACCTTTCGCTCGCTTCCTCTTCTTCTTGGTGAACTTCTCACATTCTCTATCTAAAAATTCATCGTTCTCTCTCTAAATACCTCTGGCCATTTTTTCACATGCAGACAAAAACCAGGAACGCATGCATAAATGAGACAGAAAAAAGCGCTTGACCTTCCTGTTTCCACTGTTTTGCAGCACTTTGAAAGTGAGAGGAGAGAGACAGAGGGCTACCCTGTCTGTAGAAGGAGAGAGAAGTCTCTTTGCAAGTGACGCTCAGCTTCACTGTACATGTCAGAGAGAGAGAGAGCCCAATTGTCTTTTACGTGAAGCACAGGTCTCTAGAGAGAGACAAAAGAAGAGAGCCAACTGATTTGCATTGAGAGAGAGAGAGCGAGAGAGAGTTGGGGAATGATTCCTTTTGTTCCTCCCGGCTTCACTTTGCGCGACGGTTACTGCTACATGAACAACACCACCACCACCACCACCACCACCACACAGTGTTGGGACCAAGGTCGATATTTACAAAAGCTGGCCTGTAAATCATCATCTTCTCCTTGTTCGGTGCTCACTCTGTTGAATGATGATAATAATAATAACAGTGAGAAGGTGAATATTTGTTGGAGAGAGAAGGAGGCGAAAGCAGCTGCTGCGTCCAAGAGTCACAGTGATGCCGAAAGAAGACGAAGAGAACGCATCAATACCCACCTCAACACTCTCCGAAACCTCCTTCCCAACACCACCAAAGTAAGCACCACCAAATAAGTTCAATCTCTCTCACTCACATAAACTCATGCATCTAAAACAAACACAGATTCTCTCTCTTCACACCCAAACCCCACAAAGTAAGACAACTCTCTCTCTCTCACACACACACACCACACACCAGACCGACTCTCTCTCTCTCTTTCTGTTTCTCGGAAGTGAAATCCAATTGTTCCCAATAACGTCAAAAAAAAAAAAAAAAAACGAAAATACTTTCCAAGTTAAAAGAAAGAATATGGGAAATACGTAGAAGAGAATGAAGGAGAGTATGATAATATTTGGTACTTTTGAGATTTTGACTTATAGAATATTATGAAGGACTCGTAAATATATCGGAATATAAGAAAATAGTAGTTCTTCACATGGCCCTGAGATTTGCTTTTTAAAAGCAATCTTCGTCCTTTCGATCTTGACGTGATTGGATTTAGAATCCACTCACGGTTTTCTCGAAGCTTATTAAAACTTCATTTTATTTCTTTTTCTTCTTTTCTTTTTTGAAAATCTGTTTTGTTTTGTACTTTTGTATGGTTTGGATAGCAATATCAATTTATCATTTTCTGGTCTTTCATATTAATATACATCTTCTTTAGACTTTGAAAGGTGTTTATTGTATGTTTTCTTTTCACTCATTCTTTATTTTAATAATTCTTTTGTACTTTTTTATTTTTTATTTTATTTTTCTCAATTTTAATCTTTTTTGCACTTGCGGATGACTTGGTCCAGTCGGCTTGGAGTCACTCGAGTTACTCAGGCTCAAGCGCATAGTCCCTAGCCCGAGCTGAGTTTTGCAGCTCACTTCTTTCCCATGCTACCAGTAGCTCGTATTCTTATCTTGATTCTAAGCCTGTTACTTAGCAAATAATTATTTGTTTAAATTTACAAGGGAATTATATACGCGCAATGTATTAATTTTTAAAAATTTTGTTACTTTTATTTTACTATTTTACATAACATGTGAAAGTTCCAAGGCCTGCTAACCCACCCAATTATAAATAAAAATGGATGCAATGTATATGATAGTTTTCTCAATCCTTCTCATTTTATTCCTTCGCATTCTACATTTTTTTTCAACTAAAAGGTTTAAGAATGGCAGGATTTTAAACTTTCCCTTAACCCTTTCCAAGCGTGGGTAAAAAAGGTGGGCTGTTAGGTGAGCAGCCAAAATTTTGCCAAAAATTTTTACGAATCTGAAATAGAGCAGAGTGGGATTCATGTAGCTGATCTTAATTAGTTGGAAAAAAGATTTGACGATAATAATAACTGGCAACCCAAAAAAGCAACTGTTGAATATGACACCATGTCTTTTTAATGGGTTTTTTTTGGAACTAATATGACACCATGTCTTTTTAGTGGGTTTTTTTTGGAACTGAGAGTTCCAAATATTGCCACATTTGAACCGGAAATCATTGGTAATTTGGATCAAATAAGCTAAATTTTGCCATTGAAGCATTTTTGAAGTACCACTTAATTCCCATCCTATAATTGGAGAATTAATACGGCGCCCTATAGTAGGAAATTGAACATCTTGAACAAGTAAAACATTGTTCAATACTAAGAAAAGAGCCCAGGTTTAAGTGGTTAACGCTTGACTATTTACAATGCTACGTCATAGGCTAATTCTTACAAAGGGTATGGGCCATCTCAATTCTTACAAAGGGTACGGGTGCTCTCTCTAATAACTCACCCCAAAAACAAGAGTACTAGCAGAGATATTGGGCTTTATAATTGGGGGAAGAAAAATTTGTTAGAAAAAATGTTTAATTAAGGAGTATTTACAGCAGATATAATTGACAGATGCTTTTTGAAAAAATGTTTTATTAGCATCAAAACCAACTGAAGCTTAAATTTATAAGCTTTTGTTGTCGACAGACGGACAAGGCATCCCTTCTAGCCGAGGTGGTCCGGCACGTGAAGGAGTTGAAGCAACATGCTAAGGGCACAGAGGGCCATGGCCCAATTCCCGGAGAGGCGGATGAGCTCACAGTGGTGCACCCCGAGCCCTCATCCTCTCTCATAATGGCCACTCTATGTTGTGAGGATCGGCCGGGCCTCCTCTCCGAGCTCACAAATGCCTTCAAGGCCCTAAGGCTACGCACAGTCAGGGCCGAGATCACGACCCTAGGCGGCCGAGTAAAGAACGTGTTCTTTATTGATCGTGAGCATTCTGAGACTAGCCTTAGTTGTTTAGAAGACACGCTCAAGGCCATCATGGTCAAGCCTGGCCCTCCCCCTATAGTGAGGCATGAGAGCAAAAGGCCACGCATCAACTACCATAACAATGACTTCATGGTGTAAATTTGGTCTACTGGGGGCGGTCAGGGCTTTAGATCAATCGCTAGTCCTCTTTTATTCTTTTTGTTTTTGAGGGTTATGGTTATGTTTTTTCTCCTCTTTTATTCTTTTTGTTTTTGGGGGTTATGGTTACGTTGCAGTCTTTGTGGGTAGTTTAGTGGAAAAGGATTTTATACCTTTATTAAGAATGGAACTCGAGACATCATGTTTGTCACTTGCTACTTTAAGCATTTATACCTTGAGTCCATTACTAAGTCATAGTTAGATAAGGTTTACGGCAATTTAAAGTTTAGAACCTTGGAATACAATCTTTCAAACAAACTAGCCCTTCAAGTTTTGGCATGGTGGGAAACATATTGGTTGTTGGAGGGAAACATATTGGTTGTTGGAATATTGAAAATTTAACCCAAAAATTTCCTAACTTAAAGTCTTTTTTTTTCTTCTTTTTGCTATAGGTCTTCAAACTAGTTTTTCTTTTGAGGAGATGGCTATGTTAAACTTAGTGTGAACTGGTGACACATCAATGGGTGGGGGTTTATTCTTGAGGTCTCAATTTGGGTGATGAAGATGTTAAATTTGAGGGGCAACTCCAAGGTTTGAACCTCCCCTTTTGTAACCTCCTTATTCAAACTAGGTGTCACACCAAAGGGACCAAAAGCTGGTGTGAATTGATATTGATGGAGGCCCAGCTCTATGGGAATAATTTGGGAAGCGTGTATTTTTGTTTGACTAAGATGAGTTTCAAGTCTATGAAATTGGCTGATATTTGCTTTTTGTACCTTTGAAGATAATCTTTTGTTGCTTTAGGGCCCTTCTTTCATTTCTTTGTTTTCTCTTATTTTCTGCTAATTACTTTCACTGTAGGAAAATACTTCGAGATTATGGCTTACAAAGTCTCACATCATTCTTAATGACCAACAGCTAGACGCCTTCTATCATTTTTTAATAGCAAAATAATTTTTATAAAAAGAAAAATGATGACTATCATAAAGTAAAGGGAAATTTATTTAACTACCCTTGATAGATGGGTTATTTAACATTCTACGCATGTCTTTTGATTTAATTTTAAAATGCTCATCAAAATCAAAATACAAGTGATGATTACTTGGAATAATTGCAATCAGGTAAAATGTTACATTGTTGATCTCTTAGAGGTATTTTGATAAATTTCCCTCTAGTAAATAGCTATATCAAATGCCTTTATATAAGAAAAAACCCATTTTTTATGAAAACATAAGGGAATGTATTTTAAAAAATTTTACCCCTTTTCCTTTCCTGTTCTTCCCTTATTTTCTCCTTCATGATACTTTTTCCAGTCCTTTTATTATTTTTTGTTCTTATAAAATTCCATTTTTCTTTTTAACAACTATTACTGTTTCAAAATCTTGCTCAATGCCTCAAACATGATTCTCAAATTAGAATAACAATTACCCATTTGCATCCATGGACATGTATTTTTAGGATTTGCATATCCAAGGTATGAAAAAACAATTTGCATTTGGTACTCGTTTGGTCCCCAAAACATGGATATCGCAATCAATAGGACTCCTCTCTAGAACGTTAAAAAAAAAAAAAAAAAAAGGGACACTCTAGGATATCTCAATTAATTGGAAAAAAAAGCCAAATTTGGTATTTCTAGGATATGTCAATTCAAGGATATTATGTTGAGGGGACCATAAGCCCTTCTCAATCGTCCTTCACTACTATGTCCATACACCACTCCTTCATTTACAGATAAATAAAGAATTTAGAGAGAGAGAGAGAGAGAGGAACAACTAGAGAGAGAAATGCGCTGTCAGAAAGTGAGGAGATAGAGAGATTACATAATTAGAGAGAGAAATAACATAGTTAGAGAGAGGATATTGAGGAAGAATGCACACAGCTGGATAGAGTGGAGTTAGAGAGAGAAAATGCAAAATTAGAGAAAAATGAGTAAAAGAGAGATGATATGCAACAATAGAAAGAGTGCACACTTAGAGAGAGAGTTAGAGGGCATAGAGAGGGAGAAAAGAGTTACAGAGACAAAAGACATGGTGAGAGAGAGCACACGTAGATAGAGAAAAGAAGTCACAATTACATAAAGAGGAGTTAAAGAGAGAAATGACACATTAGAGAGAGAAGAGTTACACAGTAGCGTTCGATAGAGAGTAGAGAGAAATAGCTAGAGAATTATATAACTTGAAAAGTTAATAAAAAAGGTTTATATAAGGTTGAGGTTTTAAATAATCAAATTAAAGCACATCTCAAAAATTCACTAGAAGAAGAAAGTTTCATTGTCGAAAAACTCTCAAATCAATCATCTCGACCTCTAGATGTATAGAGATGAAAAAAAGCGATTTTAAGTCTAGAAAGTAGTGCATCTTGTAATGTATTATTTCCTTAGTCAATTTTCAATATTTTCAAGTGTTTATAGATTTATTCGATCTACACTATTTTTTAAGCTTTAAATTTTATAACTAGATATCGAAATTAATTTTCAAGCTGTCATAAAGATTTTGGCTATTGGAAAATCATCTTTCAACACACTGTAGAGGTATGCCTTACTTTGATTATTTAGGGCCTCAGCTTTATACAAACCACACCCATGACTCTCAATCTCAACGCTATCATCACCGTTAATTTGAACTTTATGCTAGTTGTAGTGTCTTGGAGATGTGTTATAGTGAATGTTATCAAATTCGCTTAGTTTCGGCCAAAGAGGCCGAAGCCTTCAGATTTTAAGTATAAACAGAAGCGAAGAGAATCATGGTGCTGCGGCCTCGGCCAGATTCAAGCTGCTTTGGTCTGTTTCGGTCTGCTTCGGGTCTAATTCGGCCGAAACTTCGGGCTGCTTCGGTCAGAAGAGAAATCCCTATATAAAAGTATATTTTTATTTTTTAAATTTTTAAATTTTTAAATTTTCTATTATTTTTATATATTATATATATAAATATATAAATTTTTTTTTAGAAAAATCTGAAGTCTTCTCCCGAATTGGCCAAATAACTAAATTGCTTCATTTTTCTCACCAATCTGAAGAAGACTCCAAAGCGGATTTGATAGCATTAGTTTAGTTCTTAGTGCTCAATTTGAGTGTTGAATTATTAGGCCGAGTCGCCTATGGGCCCACCAGGATCCTTTGAAATCTGGATAATGGATATGATTTATAACATGTATATTATTTGGCCGAGTCGCATCACTGATTAAAACTTGGATTGGTGCGGTGGATCATTGACATCATAGATTTGTTTGGGTCGCTGGATCAGTAATCCAAACTGGTCTAGATCGGTCCAAATCCGCGATCCAAAAAATATCAAAAATAAATAAAACAAAAATCTAATATAGAGATTTATGGCACAAGAATTTATGAGGAACCCAATAAAATATTAGGTAGGCTTCAAAAAAAAAAAAAGTATAAACTAGGCGGTTTTAGTGGAAATGGTGTTGAGACTCATATCATCCTAGAACCTAACGGTCTTTGACCGATTCTGCATCCCATTCGAGAATTTGAATCGTGAATGACCGGGTTTGAAAACAAGGATAAGAGTCCTGATTTGAAAAAGCTTGGAGACTCTTTCATGACAAGAGGTCGGTCTAAAATTACGTTTCAAAATGTTTATATAAGGGTGAGGCCCTAAACAATCAAATTAAGGCGCACCTCAAAAATACATTCAAAGAGGTTTTTTTGATGCCAAAAAATCTTCAAATCGATCATCTTGGCCACAAGATGTATGAATGTAAGAAAAACAAATGAATTTCAAGTCTTGGAAATAGTTCATCTTGTAATGCCTATTCTAGACCATCAATTTTCAATTTTATTATCAAGTGTTCATAGATATGTTTGGTCTACACTGTTTTTGAAGCTTTAAATTTTATAATTAAAGATGAAAATAAATTTTCAGTCCATCACTAAGATTTCAAATACTGAAATAAAATCTTTCAACGCTATTTCAAGTTGCCCCCTACTTTGATTGTTTAGGGGTTAAGCCTTATACAAACCACACCCTTCATTTATCTATCTGTATTAAATGTTTTATCATTTTACGGATTTGGATTGACATCATTGAGTGTCTTGGATTAGATTAAACACTATGGATTTTTTTCTCAAGAGTTACACTTAAGAGTAGAATCATGCCCTTGGCAGAGAACAAGTGAAATACATTTAAGAGATGATCCGTTAGATCTAGAGGTCTGTGTCATGTGGATGTGAGTTTTGTACTAAGTTTTCTTTAATACACCCTGTGATTTGTTTCTCGCTCTGGGCACTTTTTTGTGTTTTTCTTGGTTGATAAATGCTGGTGCGGGTAATTTTCTGCTGCATGATTTAACAAGTAGTATCAAAGTAAGATTCATGATTTTCGGTTATTTTCTTAAAAGAGTAGAGTATCAAAATCGAAGAAAATAGAATTGACATGGCAGAAAATAGGAGCTTATTGGCTCGGGTTGAGAAGCCCGATAATCATAACTACATCAATTGGAGTTCATGAATAGAATCGTATTTATGAGGGCAAGATCTTTGAGAGACAGTAAATGACAGGGACATTGTCCCTCTGGCAGCAGAAGTTGTAAATGGAGAAGCCCTGTGAAAGTCGAAGATCAGAGACATTATACACAAAGACACCGAAGGAGGCACAAGACATGCTCTTGTCCTTGTTCTCGTGGTGAGCAAGCTAACTGCAATTGTTGAAGAACGAGCTAGGTTGGTTGACAAGGGTTTCATTCTTTATTTCTCAATATTTCGTTAAGGTAGGGAACAAAGTGTAACGAGGTCTGGCCAGAAGTTGCATATCGGTGACAAGCATATGCTTAGGTTGATTATCCTCTTGGATTAAACCGGTGTTTATAGAGCATGGTACAAGCCTACACAATACAGATTAACCGAGTTGGTGAACCAAATGATTAGTCAGGAGTCTCTAGCAAGATAATCGACACGGCTTGGCTTTGTGTAAAAGAAAGTGAGGAGACATTTACAGAAACCCATGGAAAAATAAAAATCTGCGCTAAAGCTAGGCCCTCTCAAAAAGGGCAGATAACAATAGCATAAAGGCAAAAGCCTTAGTGATGAATGCCAAAGAAGAAAGAAAACAAGAATGTTGTGCCAGAGTCACAATGCAATGATGGTGATTGGGAGATGAGGAGATTTGCCTAGCTCTCGCTGCATTCGAGATGGAGCAGGCAACCATGTGATAAAAAAAATTAAAGAGGAAGAACATTTAAAGGCGGAAGTGGAAGAAA